GTTTTTTTTTTCCTTTAGCTGATTTGTGAGGGGGTCAAAAGGGGCTTCTTCTTTTGAAATGCTGCTTGTGACTGAGGAGTTGTGTGACGCACCCCTTAGACCACATTGTCACGTGACGCACCAGGTATATCAGCAGTGGCGAGGGCCCCAGGCGCCGTCCGCCTCCCCAGGAAAGGGGCTGGTAGGGAGGAACAGATAGAAAGAAAGAGGAGAGATGGAGAGAGAGGCCGGAGAGGCAGGGCCAGGCCTCGCGGCGCTCTTTATGTGTAGGCGTTGAGACGCTCCTTGGAGCGAGTGGAGTGGATGTCGTGAAGCTCCTGCTCCTCCTTCGACTTGATGTCCTCGTACTTCTGCATTCGGCAGGCGTCCTTCACGTAGGCCCAGTTGGCAGACAGCACCATCAAGTAGTGGATCTGTGGGAGTCCATGCAAGATGTGACACCAAGGAAGCAGTACTAACAACGTGTCACTTCTGTTATTCATCACAGGACGCAAAATAAAATGTACGTGTCCTAATTCCTGCTCAATAATCCAGGTAGTTAATCCAACAAAGAAGAGAAACTGAGACGTTTATCTTCTAAACACGACGTCCCAGTGGCTTTTAAACCCCAAAATACATTAAAGACTGGTTCATCCCCAAGATCCATGCAGCACCGTCAGAGTAATGTGTATGCTGTTCAGTGTCATGAGGGTGATCAGTCTTATGTCAGGGAAACTAAAGAGCCACTGGCCAAAAGGATGGACCAGCACAGAAGATCAACATCATCAGGCCAGGACTCTGAGGTCTACACTCATCTCCAGGTCAGAGGTCACTCTTTCAGGGATGAAGATGTTCACATCCTGGATAGAGAGGAACGATGGTTTGAGAGAGGAGTAAAGGAGGCCATCTTTGTGAAAAGAAATCGTCCATCATTAAGGGGCGGAGCCTCCGTGTCCAACTGTCCCCCTCTTACAATGCTGTGATTGTTAATATCACTCAGCCCTCTGTGAATAACAAGTGACCATCAGAGCACCAGCGATCAGTCGTTGGGCAGATGGTCCTCCTTTATCATCCCTCAGAGCAGACTGAACTTGACAAAAAAGCTGTTTCCTACTCAGCTCCTGCATCTGGAACACCTGGCAACAGAAGCTGAAGTTGTCCTCCTTAGTTTCTTTAAGGGTTTCAAACATTTGATAATGTCAGTAGAAAAATCAAGGAAGTTCTTGTTTTTAGTATTTCGCCCTGTTTTACAGCACCCTGATTTATTGTTTTATACACTACTCTTATTTTATCTGCAGTTTTACTGTAGTTTATTGTTGTTGTTTACTGTTATTGTTGTTGTTTACTGTTATTGTTGTCTGTACTTATATGTTCTGTCTGGAGCAGCTCTCTCTTGTAAATGAGTCCTCATGGCTCAATGAGACTAATCTGTAGAAATAAAGGTTGAATGAATGAATGAATCATGTGAACAGCTAGTTCTGAATGTCCACAACAAACTGGTTGATCCACATGAGAAGGTTTTATTTATTTTTATATATATTTATTTATAAGACTGAGTTTAGTGCAGCTCCTCGGACTGAAGAAGTCTTTCAGATGAAAGATAAAACGTTTCAACAATTTTAATTGTTTTAATATATATTTTTCGTAATCTGTTCAGAAGACCTGATTAACTTTGTTAGATTTTTCTATCTGGATTATTGAGCAGCATCTGGATACATTTCATCAAAGTGAAGTCCGGTCCTCTGGACAGTTTCTTTTTGTTGAAACATTTTGTCTTCCATCCAAAAGACTTCTTCAGTCAGAGGAGCTTTGACAAACCCAGTCTTATAAATAGCACCTTCACATAGCGGCTCAGCCATTGGTTGATGATTGGTTTGGCTTCTCGGACTGGTGAAAGGATGAAAGACAAAGGTTTCAACAACAAGAACCCGTCCAGAGGACCTGGCGTCACTTTGTTGGATAAAAAAGTTCATGAATGCAGTTAAAACATTCTTGAAAAGCCTGCGGGGTTTGGCTCTTCCAGTCAAATCAAGGGTCATTCTCAGGAGTCCAGCAGGTGGCAGCATGTTGTCAGACATGCTTTTGGACCTTGAAGTTACCATGGCAGCTAAGATTATAATGGCAGATAAAATTATAATGGCAGATAAGATTATAATGGACCATTGTGCTTTAATGACTGAGGTTGTAACGCTGCCTCTCTTTTCTTAGGAGCTGCAGATTCATGAGTGTTGGCATCTTTCTAATTAGATCCAAACACAGACAAAACAATAATCTACATTTTTAATCTAATGGTACATCGTTTTCTTTACTCAAATTCCACCCTGGGATTAATGAAGTATCTATCTATCTTAACTTTGGCACACGTTCAGCATTTAATCCTGCTCCCAGCCTGGAAGTGTCGGTGGTGTTTGCTGCTCCACCTTCACTGTGGGCAGAACATGCAAAAGGACGATGAGAGGAAAGTCTCGCTGCACTTTGCTGCAACATCATTTCTGAGCAACAACCACTTTCAGTTTCTCAGAAAATGGCTCCTCACAAATTACTGAGTGATGTTTGCAACAGTCTCCGAGCCTTTCTTCTCCCTGTTTCCATGACAACAGTACGACAGGCCCGCCGCCTCTGAAAGAGGGAGGGAGACAAACCCTGTCTTTCTCTCTGCACCAAAATGCCTCCTTTCTCTCCTGAACACAAGGAGCCAGGACAAAATGCCAGCAGTGCATGGATCTGTTCAGTCCGCCACCTTGACCCAACTGAAGGGCGCTCCTAAGACACGTTGAACCCAGTGGGCTCAGTTTCAGCTGTAGCTGCACGTTAAGTCCTCGGGTTTCTTACCATTGCAATCACTGCAGCTCCTGCTCCAGCGAGGGCGCAGATGAACAGGTGGAACGTCATGTCCAGCTGCAACACAAACAAATCATCAGCTGAAGAGCTTTAACTGGACCGTTTATAGTCACAAAGTTCTGTAAAACTCCAACAGACATCTTTAACTGACCCTACAACATCTGTGAACTATGAAAAACTAATCCGAGCAGCAGATTCAGTTTGTCAGCAAATATCTCGACTTGTTCAAATCAAAGGTTTCCCAGTTTGGAGTTTTGTTGAAGTTTTACACGTGGACACAGAGTTTCATCTCCATGCTCAAAGACGTCCTCCATTCCCTTACCTCGTTAGATTCACACATTTTGTAGAACATCTCGGATCCAACGCACACAGTCTTGGCCTCCGCGACTGGAACGACACCTGAAACAAGTCGGTTTAAATGAATAACCTGAGACGTTAAATGATGAAGGAACAGGACGAAGCTCTGAGCGGGTCAGCAGGACCACATGCACCAAGACCCTGGACTAAAGGGGAGTTTTATGTGCACACGAGCCAAACGCAGCTTTACATGTCTCAGTGCACACAGAACCACTGGCTGCAGGTAGCTAAAGGCTGCAGGTAGCTAAAGGCTGCAGGTAGCTAAAGGTTAAAGCCACAGGTAGCTAAAGGCTGAAGGTACTGGATGCAGGTAACTAACGTATGCAGGCAGTAGCCTACCACATGCTGCAGGTAGCTAAAGGCTGCACATAGCTAAAGGCTGCAGGTAGCTATAGGATGCAGGTAGCTAAAGGCTGCAGGTAGCTAAAGGCTGCACATAGCTAAAGGCTGCAGGTAGCT